TTAAAGGTCCTGGGGGGGGGTCGGACCCCCCCCCCCCCTAGCATGTGGTGTGGAGAGAAGTGCGCCCCCCTCCCTGGAAGCGATGTGCGCCTGCTCTGGTGGGCTCCGGAATGGGTACCGTGCGGGTGCGGACGGAAGAGAGAGTGCATGTACGAGAGCTAGCATGCGCATGCTCCGCAGGGGCAGGTGAGTACTGGTCAAAACAACCATTTGCACACTTGTTTGCAACAAAATGCGCTGCAAATGCGACATTTTATGGATCTGGAGTGACACTATGGATTTCGGGTGACACAGGTTAGTAGGCCCTGTCATGCACGAGCCGATGGTTTGGCACGAGCCAGACCTTCCTGATCAAGCAGGTGGACTAGTGGCCACACAGACACGATAAGACGATAACGAACGACCCTGGGCCAAAGACGATAGCCAGATGGTTTGGCACGAGCCAGACCTTCCTGATCAAGCAGGTGCAACGGTTTCATTAAGGGATAAGGCGACTGATACGTGATACACCGTCGCGCACTACAGTAAGAGTGGACACGATCGTCGATCCCGGCGTGAACACGACGAACTACCCACTTCTCCGATGCACGCGCGGCACGCCGCACGCGCGGACGCGCCACGGCGCGGCACGTGCCGCCGTTTTTGTTTGAAAAAAAGTCGAATCAGGCATTGAATCACGCAATCACAGAGCGGTGTCGCCCCCGTGTCGGGCTGTCGGCGTTGACCGTTGTCCTGAGATTTCTTCCCCGGACCGCCCGGTGTGCGCTGCACCGCGGGGAGCGCTGTTCGTGCGTGCCATACAACCCCTGACGACCGACAAAAGGCAAGCCTGACTGACGCCGATGTGCCACCTCGGGCGAATAACCCAAATGATCTCCTTCATCCTCTCAACCGGCGGCAGACGCTGCAGCCCCGCGGCCCCCGATCGGCTGCCCTTCCAGCCCTCTCCTTCCCTCCTCACGCCTTGCACAAGTAGGCACACCACCACCGCCGCTTGGCAGGCGGACCCTTTGCGCCGCGCGCGCCCGCCGCCGCGCGCCCCTTCTTCTTTGCGCCGCCGCCGCCCGCCTGCAAGCTCATCTCCTCCATCTCGCGCGCGCCGCCGCCCGCAGGCCCGGTCTCGTACAGCTCGGGATAAATTTGCCGCAGCTGATCCCGCGACATGCGCTGCTGGCCGCCGCCGCCGCCGCCGCCGCCGCCGCCGCCGCCGCCGCCACGGGTGGACCCGCCACCTGCGCCACCTCCGCCCGGGGACAGGCCGAGCGCCGCCGCGAGCGCGTCGTTGGCGGCGCCGGCCCCGCCCCGCCCCGCCCCGCCGCCGCCCTTGCCGCTCAGCCCGAGGGCAGCCAGCAGCGCCTCCTGCGCCGCCGCCGAGCCTGCGCCGCCGCCGGCGCGGCTGCCGCCGCTGCCGCCGCTGGCACGTCCGCCCTGCGCAGCAAGCGCCGCCATCAGCTCCGCCTGCTGCTGCGCGCGCGACTTGCCCGCCGAGCCTCCGCGGCCGCCCGCCGACACCTGCGACGACATCTGCTCCGCTCCGCCGCCGCCGGCGAGCGCGCTGTACGTGCCGGGCGGGAACTGCTGCGGCTGCTGCCCCGGCGGCGGCTGCTGGCCTCCCTGCGCGAGCAGCTGCCGCACCTGCTGCTCGCGGATCTGCCGCTCGAGCTTGCGCTGCGCCGCAGACTTCTTGGCCCCCTTTGCGCCGCCCTTTGGCCGCTGCGGCACTGCCAAGTGCTGCGGCAGCTGCTGCACCGGGACCGACTTGCCGGTGCGCAAGTCGTGGAGCAAGTCCTCGGTGCCGTCGCCGTCGAGGTCCTCGTGCGCCACGTCCAGCACGCCTGAGCAAGGGAAGCGGCGGCGTGAGTCGAAAGCTGCGCCAGCGTGCGGGTCCTCGTGCGCCACGTCGAAGCGCGCCGTCGCCGTCGAGGTCCTCGTGGATCAAATCGTAGACGCCTAGGAAGCGGCGCACCTCGTCTCGAGGCGGCCTCTAGGCCCATCTCTCGATCGACTCTCTCAAGCGTCTCTCGAGGAGGCGAGTGTCTTCCTCGAGGAAGCGTCTAGGAGGTGTCTAGGAAGTGTCTAGGAAGCGTCTCTCGAGGGGTGGGGCGAGTCTGGCGCGCGCCGTCTCCGTCGACGTCCTCGTGTACAAGATCTGCCACGCCGTCCGAGTCGAGGTCCTCGTGGATGGCGTCGATGGTGCCTACCCCGTGCGAGATGAAGTGACGGGAGGTCATCTCACCATGCCGAGACGGAGGACGTCGATCGTGCCGTCGGCGTTGATGTCCTCGTGGAGCAGGTCGTGCGTCCCGTCGGCGTCGACGTCCTACAGCGAAGGGTCCGAGCAGCGCTCCGAGCTGGCTCGAGGAGGGCCGCGCGCCCCGTCGGCGGTCTCTCCTCGTGTATGAGGTTGGGCTTGCCGTCGCCGTCCGTGTCCTCGTGCACCAAGTCGATCACCCCGTCCTTGTCCACGTCCTCGTGCACCTTTAGGCGAAGGGGAGGGACGCGTACCTTCTAGGAAGTGTCTAGGAAGTGTCTAGGACGCGTCACGCACGCATCGCACGCGCGTCTCTCCGCCCCTCCCCCCCACGCGCACACGCGCACCAGGTCGGCGACGCCGTCGCCGTCGGTGTCCTCGTGGATGACGTCCATGACGCCGTCGCCGTCGACGTCCTCGTGCACCAAGTCGAGCACGCCGTCCCCGTCCACGTCTTGGTGCACGTAGTCGGTCCGGCCGTCGCCGTCGCGGTCCTCGTGGATGAGGTCCGCCTAGGAAGTGTCTGAGAAGTGTCCAGGACGCGTCCAGGAAGTGTCGCGCTCCTCGTGCGAGGTGCGCCTCGCCGTCGCCGTCGATGTCCTCGTGCACCGTGTCGTACACGCCGTCGCCGTCCGTGTCCTCGTGCACCTTTAGGAGGAGGGGCGGGGCCGAGCGTCGGCTAGACACTTCCTAGACACTTCCGAGCGGCGGCTCCGGCTCAAGGGGGGGCTCCCCGCTGCCCGGCAGGCCGCTACCGCGCGACCGCCCCAGCGGTCCTCGTAGACACTTCCTAGACACTCCCCAGGCACTTCCTAGACACTTCCTAGACAGCTCCCGCGCACCAAGTCCATCACCCCGTCGCCGTCCTCGTCCTCGTGGTACAGCTCATACACCTACACGAGTCGGCAAAACGTCGGCTCGGTCTCCGACGGCGCACAAGTCAGCGGCGCAGCGCGCACACCCCGTCGCCGTCCTTGTCTTCGTGCGTCGCGTCCGCCACCCCGTCGCCTGCTCGCGGATGGAGGTGTGCGTCTAGGCACGCGTCGCTGCACCCGCCTCGATCTCCGACTCGCTCGGACCGATCTCCCTCTCGACTCGCGCCGCCGCCACATCACCGCTGGATCTCGGCCGCATCTCGACTGTATCTCGGCTGCATCTCGGCTGCATCTCGCCGTCGCGGTCGACGCCGCGCTCGCTCGGGCGCCGCTGCCCGCTCCCGCCCGCCCGCGCGCGGTGCGGGTTGCGCGCGCGCGGCGACGCATACTTGGGCTGCGCGCTCCCGCCGCCGCCGGCCCGTTGCGGCGGCGGCGGCGGCCGCCCGTATCCGCCGCCTCCTCCCGCGCCGCCGGCTTGTGCGTAGCCTCCCGCGTGTCGCTGGGGCGCCGAAGTGCCGCCGGCTGCGGGAGGGGCGTGGGGTGAGGCGAGCCGTGGCGAGGGGGGGGGGGGGGGAGGCCAGGGAGGGAAAGGGAAAAGGGGAGGAGGGGAGGTGGGGAGGTGGGGAGGTTGGGGAGGGTGGAGGCCAAGAGGGGAGGAGGGCGAGAGCGAGAGCGGCAGACGAAGTGAGCGGCAAATCCGCTGCAGAGAGGGGAGAGGCAGTGAAGCGCAGAGGAGAGAGGCGAGTGTCCGCTCACCTTGCTGCGCCCTCTGCTGCGCCGCCAGCCACTGCCGCAGCGCCTCTTTGGTGCTCGACCCGCCGCCTAACAGGCCGAGGCGAGAAGGGTCGTGGAAGCGTCCGCCAGTCAGCACGGGGGAGCGCCGCATCCGTGCTCGCACCACCGCCGCCCGCCGACGGCTGCGAACCACTCGCCGAGACGGCGCCATAGCCGCCGCCGCCGTACTCGCCTCCAGCAGCAGCGTAGCCGCCCCCGCCGCCCCCGCCGCCGGCGTATCCGCCGCCTCCGCGAGAAGCTGCGGCGGAGCCAGCAGCCACCGCCTCCACGAATGCCTGCACCTCGCCCAGCGCCGATCGGCCGCGGTACGGGCGGGGCAACTCTCCAGGCCGGAGGGCGAGCATGGCGGGGCAGGCGCCGCCACCGCAAAGGACGCGGCGGAGCTCGGGGCTCTGGACCAGGTCCACCTTGCCCACCCGCACGCCCTTGCCCGTCTGTGCCTGGTTATAGTACCGCGCTGCCTGCAGCAGCGACGGCGCTGTCAGCCCGGCGCCCTGGCCGGGCTCAATGGCGAGGAGCCAGGTCACGGGCTGTGCGGCGGCGGTGGCAAAGTTCTGCGCCGTCAGCTGGTAGATTGGCGACTGGGCGAGGCAAAGTGCCGGCAGCAGTAGCGCCAAGCCGCGCATATCGTGGTGAGCGCGAGCTCAGCGGAGCAATGTAATGGATTTCTTCTTTTTTGAGAGCGCCTTCGTTCTTTTTTTGCTCTTGACGTCTTTGTTAAAGTTGTTCATTTTAAGCCTCTCTCTCCTCTCACTACACATGATGGCGGACCCGGAGGAGCAACGCAAGGAAATTGGGGATTAGATGCAATAAGGGTGCCCGATCGAGTGTAAGAGTCGCGACCCAACTCCACCTGCGCTCAAGAAGGCGGTGGCAACGCGCCCGCTCCCTGCCAGGACCCACGCGTGCAAACGTACGCCTCTCTTGCTGCCACGGACCTCGGACCTCGCGCACTCGCGCAGAGTGCATGGGAGCTCTCCAGCTGTCCTGGGTGCATCGAGGCGGCGCCTGGTCCCGGTGCCCACCGGAGCAAGGCCCTAGGCCTGTGGTTGCGGCGGCCAGGCGCGGCGATCATGCACAAGGGTTCACATGTGGGGGGAGGGTGGCGCCTCAGTAGAGGGATGTCTTCTTCATGATCCTCAGGAACTCCTCCTCGTTGATCTCGCCGTCGCCGTCCCGGTCCGCCTCGTCGATCATCTCCTGCGCGGGCGCGGCGAGGGGGCTGCTGTCGGCCACAGGGGCGGCGGCGCCGGACACGGCCCTCGGGAGGGGAGGGGCGGCAGGCGCGGGAGCGGTGGGCGCGCTCCTGCAGCTCCTCGTCCGTCATGTGATCTCGGGTGATCTCGGGTGATCTCGGCTATATCTCGGCGGGGAGGTGCGCCTGCAGCTCCTCGTCCGTCATGTTCTCGCCGAGCTCCTTGGCCACCCGCTTGAGGTTCGAGAACGTGATCTTGCCCTGTGGGCGGCGGGGCGGGGCGGCGCGGGGCCGGCGGGGTCGGCGGGCCCGGGAGGGGCGGGGCCAGTGGCGTCGGCGAGTCTGCGGCGGCGTGGCTGTAGCGGCGTGGGTGCGGCGGCGCCGTGTCGTCGTCGTCAAAGAGGCGGAAGGCCTTGAGGATCTCTTCTCGCGAGTCCTGCAGGCAGAGAGGGCGGCTTGACATGCGCGTGGTGCGTGGGGAGAGGTGTGTGCAGCGGCGGGCGGGAGAGCGCTCTGCTGCGAGGAGAGGGAGGGAGGGGGAGGGGGAGGGGGAGGGGGAGGGGAGGGGGGAGCCTTCTCGCCCATCTTTTGGGTCATCATCTGCAGGAACTCGTCGAACTCGATCGTCCCCGAGCCGTCCTTGTCGATCTCGTCAATCATCTTTTTGATCTCCTCCTGCAGAGGCGAGACACACGCAGAGGGCTCGAGCGACCCGCCGCTCACAGGCGGCGTCGCGGCGGCCCGGAGGGCGGAGGCGGCGGCGCGCCTTCTTCGGCTCAAAGCCGAGCGCGCGCATCGCCACCTTGAGCTCCTTGGCATCGATAGTGCCTGCCGCACCGCGCCAGCACGTCGGCCGTGCCGGGGAGGGAGGAGCGGCGAGCCCGGTGTGCGGGTGCGGTGTGACGCGGACGTGGGAGCGCGTGCGCGTGCGGCGCTCGCGGTGCCGCGCACCCGAGCCGTCGGTGTCGAACAGGTCGAATGCCTCGCGGATCTCCTGCTTCTGCTCCTCAGTCAGCTCCGACTTGCCGGGCTTGCCCTTCCCGCCCGCGTTTGGTCGCCGTGACATCGCCGCCCGTGCCTAGCGAGGGGAGAGGAGAGATCGTCGACGGTGGCCCACTGGCGGGGATGAGGCCGGCGGCGGCGGTGGGGGCAGGTGAGGCTCGAGGGCCGTTCGCGGCTGCCGGGGCGCGCCTTGTGTGCGCGTTCGCAAAGAAAACAAAGTGCGAGGATTTTGATATCCGTCAAGTAGGGGGCGTCGCGGTTAAGGGGAAACCCGGTACGCGGGGCCAACCCTCGGAGACCCGTGTTTACTTTACAGCCCTTGCCCTGCGAACGCGCACTCCCCCTAGGGGTCAGGGCTCTCTAGCCCGTAGCCCGATGCCGATCATCCGGCCCGCTGGATGCGCTTCTCAGCTTACCGGCCCTGGATGTGAGGTTGCCGACTGCACTCCAAGTGCTCCAAGTGCTCCCCTGGGCCAAGTAGGGTATAAAGTATCCGTACGCCACAAATGGCTGGCTACACCTTCCGCACCCTATCGGGCGCCCTCCGTTCCGTCTTCTGTCCGTGTGCGCGCTCTTCTATGGCCGCCCACTTCCAGTATTGTCGCAGCTGTGCCCACTCTGGTCGCTCCAGCTGCTCCGCCAGCCTCTTGTATTCCTTTTTCCTGTTTTCTTAATGCCCGCAACCCACCATGCGCGAATTCTTTTCCACCCGGGAATTGCCTACAGGGCCTCTTCTTCGATGCCGCCGCCGAGCGATGCCGCGCCGCCGCCCGGCTCCGCCAAGACTGTGGACGTGGGCGGCTGGCAGGTCTTCGTCGCTGACGGGCACGCGGTGCTGCCCGAAGGCATGACGCGCCTGCCGGACGGGGCGTTCTTCCAGCGCACCTCTCTCGTCTCGGTCACCTCGGTCACCTTCCCGAGCAGCCTCGTCTCCATCGGCCACGACGCCTTCGCCGGCTGCACCTCGCTCGTCTCCGTCGACCTTCCTGCAAGCCTCACCTCCATCGGCAACGCCGCCTTCCACAGCTGCTCCGCCCTCGGCTCCATCGCCTTCCCCGCCGACCTCGTCTCCATCAGCTGGGGCGCCTTCTTCGGCTGCGCCTCGCTCGTCTCCATCGACCTCCCTGCCGGCCTCGTCTCCATCGGCCATGACGCCTTCGCCGGCTGCTGCTCCCTCGGCTCCGTCACCTTCCCCGCCAGCCTCACCTCCATCGGCGACCACGCCTTCGCCCGCTGCTCCGCCCTCACCACCGTCACTTTCCCTGCCGGCCTCACCTCCATCGGCAAGCACGCCTTCTACCTCTGCTCCTCCCTCGCCCGCGTCACCGTGCCAGACACTGCCACGATCGGCGACGAGGCTTTCGATTCTGAGACCACCGTCCTCCGCCTCCTGCCCGCAAGCATGCGCGACCTGCAGCGCTGGTACGAGGCGGTGGACGGGGCTCTGGCCTACAAGCGCTGCAGACCCCTCCTCTACGGCTGGCTAGAGCGGGCCCAGACCAGGCTCGGCTCTTACGGCCCGGACGGCGCGGCGCGCCAACGCGACCTCGAGGAGTTCGAGGGCGACTTTGGACACCTCGCGCTCCATTCAGACTGACAGGTGACTTTGCGCTGCGAGCGGTCCATGTGGGCCCAGGCCGACGAAGACGATGTTGAAGTAGATGGAAGCGCGCAGTGCTGACGTGTCCCCCTTCATATAGCGACGCATGCACCGAGGCGCGCGTGAGCCGTGCGACGATTGAAACCGCTGTGACAACGTTGTAGATTCAACGAAAGATATGCAGACCAAACGAGGACGCCCCGCGAGGCCCCGTTGGCCGGGAGTGGTGAGTGGGACCAGTAAATTGAAAAAAGGGTTACGCGCCACCGCTCGTCGTCCAGCATGTGCCACCACCGCCGATCCGAGTAGCCGTCGTACTCGACCCCTCGGGTGCACCGCGATCCGCGTCCGTCCCCGTCCTCCTCCCGCGCCATGACGGTCGCGGGGTACCACCGCTCGCTTCGCAGAAGATCTCGAGGCGCGATCCGGTGGGCAGGACAGTGTGGCCGGTGAGCGCCGCCCTGGCATCCTCGCGCTTTCGCTTCCGCCGCTTCGCCTTCGTCTCCCTGCTGCGCAGCAGGGTGTAGTTCGGGCCCACCTCCGCCACGCTGTCCAGCAGGTGGGCGGCGCTCGCCATCTCGACCGCGTCGTCCTCCGGCGGAAGCTCCGCGTCGCCCGCGGCCGCTTCCCGAGCGCGCTCGTCGCGCATCCGCTCGTGGTGTGGGCCTGCCGACGCGCCACGCCGGCGCCCGTGCCTCGCCGCCGCGTCCCGCGACGGCATCGACGCTGTCGGCCGAGCGTGACTCGCAACTCCACGATTTGCAGTCCACTCACAAAGCGGCTCCGCAGTGGAAAAAGTTCTTTTTCTGCTACCTTGGGGCCGTGTGCGTGTGCGTGGACGACCGCGCGCTTTCCTAGCGCTTTCGATCTCACCGCAGTCTCAGCCACACAGCTGCCAGACACTCATCTGTTCTTCCTCATGGGCGCGGGCTCCAGCAAGCAGCCGGAGCTTACCGAAGCTGAGAAGCGGCGAATTTACCAGATGTCGATCTACGCCGCCATTCTTCTCGCCGCGGGCGCTTCCGCAGAGAGCCGCCGCCGCCGCCATGCGCCTCCTCCGCCGCCGCCAAAGCAGAGCAGCAGCTTCTTTGGGTGGGGCTCCGGCTGATGGCGGGCCGTGCCTGCCGTTTTGTGCACGCTGCTTCACCGGTTTTCTGCGACCAGCGTGAGGTGGCCATCAATAGTGTGCCAGTGAGCTCGCCCGGGCGCGTTGCCTGAGTTGTCCTGGTGGACATGCCGTACGCTGTGACACTCTCGCTCCTCTCTGTCAACGTGCCGTTCCGGCATTCCATGCGCCGCTGCGCGCGCGCGGTGACCCCTTCCAGTGTCTGAGACTCGGCGGAGCCAGAGCTCTAGGGCGGCCTGGGTCCTCGGTATCTGTCAAACTTGATCCCTCTGACTCTGATAATAACACGCGCGCAGCCGATTGCGGCAGCAGCCGCGCCGCCGCTCCACCTCCAGCGAAAACACACGCGCCGACGTGGAAAAGTCCCTGGAAAAGTCAAAAAACGCAAAACGGACCGCCCGCCGCCCCGCCCCCGGCGGCAGGCCCCCAGCCCCACACGGACACACCACACGCACACACCCCGGTCGGTGCGGTCGCGGCGCGTCGGAGGAAGCGAGAGTAGAGAGCCGAGACAGAGTCTCGTGACTCAAAAGGAGAAATGTAAGAAGATCCTTGCGTGCGCATTCAATCGTCGTGACGCCACCCTTCCCCCTGGCGCACAGTCATGAGTCCACCTGGCGCACATGGACTCAAGACCCGTTTTGAACTACAGTCGCGCAAAAGTCCTTGAGCGAGGGGGGTTCGTGCTGCGGCGTAAACGCCCCGCTCAATCGAGGGTCTTGTAGATGGAGGTGATGAGCATCGGGAGCGCAATGTACCTCGTGAGGGCTCCGATGGGGAAGATGGGGAGACCGAAGATGCGGCTCCAGGTGTAGACAACCTGGCCGAGGAGCGCAATCACACCACCGTAGGAGCACTCGACGCCTTTCGCAGACAGGTAGAGGAGCGCAGCCAAAAACGGTCCCGAGTACTCTGCCTCGTTCAGCTCTGCGTCGGGGTTGGACATGGCTGTGAAGTGCTTATCATACTCATCATCGGAGCCTGTGCATGTGTGCCCCCGCGGCCATGTCACACGTCCTTCCTAGGCACGTTGCAAAATCTAGTATGAACGCACGCGCTTTCGATGCGTTTGCGCCCTCGTCGGTGCCAATCTTGCCGGAGATGCGGATGCCGAACGACATGTACAGCTTCGCGACATATGTGTTGGCGAGGATCCCGCACGCAAGCACGCCCGGGCGGAGCGCGGAAGCCATCTTTTGAAACGCGAAGCAAAGCAGATACGGAATCCGTCCGTGAGTGCCGCAGCGCAAGCGGTCGGTCCGAAGGGCCGACGCTTCGACGTCGCGTTACTTTTTTCAATGTTTCTGTTGTAGGTATTCTGCTCTCCTACATTCCAAGAGATGGGAGGACTCTGCTGACAGGGTTTGCGACGAGGAGCGCCCCGAATGGTTTCTCGGAGGTTCGTGCACTAACCGCCGAAGCGCAAGCGCTTGGAGCAAGAGAACTGCGACGGATCGGTCTCCTACACACGTAGCACCCCACTACGCGGGCCGCGAATTCTTCTTCTCAGCTGTGTGGCGCTCGAGCGCACGTCCGAGTCTCTGCTTCGCAACCCCGCCCGAGAACAGAGTTCGGTGAATTTCAGTCAGTTGGTGCTCAGTCATGGCCGGCCTTGAGGAATGGTACTACGAGATGCCGCTCGTGACGCGTGTCTACCTGACCGCATCGATTGTCACCACCGGCTCTTGCGCGCTTGAGTGCGCTCCTCCGTTCTCTCTCCCGTGCAGCGGCTGCCTTCCAGCCGACCGCGCTGCCACGCCCGCGCTGCAGGCTCGTCTCTCCCTTTTCGCTGTACTTCAACTTCAATCTCGTCGTCTTCAAGTTCCAGGCCGCGACCCAAGTGCTCCCGTCAGCGCCGCGCCACTAGGCAGCCGACCGCCGAGCGGTCTCGCCCTCTCGCTCTGCCCGAGCAGGTGTGGCGGCTCTTTACCAACTTCTTCTTCTTTGGTTCGATCGGTCTCGACTTTCTCTTCCACATGTTTTTCCTCGTGCGGTACTGCCGCCTGCTTGAGGAGGGCAGCTTCCGCGGCCGCACCGCAGACTTTGTCGCAATGCTGCTCTTTGGTGCGCACTCCACACTTGGCCCTCGCGCGGTCGACGGGTCCGCCCCCACTACTCGAGAGACACTCGGGCGTCAGCGGGCGGACTCGGCGCTGGCTCCCCGTGCCGTGTGCTGGCAAAGCGCGGCACTTGCGCCCTGACCCTGACCCTGACCCTGACCCTAACCTAACCTAACCCCCCTGGCCAGGCGGAGCACTGCTCTGCGCTTGCTCGCCCTTCACCGACGTGCCGCCCTTCCTCGGCTCGGCGCTCGCATTCATGATGGTGTACGTGTGGGGCCGCCGCAACGAGCACGTGCGCATGTCCTTCCTCGGCCTCTTCCAGTTCCGGGCGCCCTACCTGCCGTGGGTGCTGCTCGGCTTCTCGGCGCGGGCCGAGCAGAGACGCGCCGAGAGGAGAGAGACGGAGAGCAGGCGAGACGAGGCTCCTTTGCGTGCGCGGGGCGCAGCGCCCCGCCGCCCGCCCCTCCCTGCACTGCGCTCCGCCAGCCCTGCGCTGCCTGGTGGCGACTGCTGGCGCGACCTCGCCGGCAGAGGAGGCCGTGGCGTCCCAACCGCCCCCCTCCCCCTCCCTCCGCCGCGGCAGGTGATGCTGGGCAACTCCCCCTCGGTCGACCTGATGGGCATCGGCGTCGGGCACATCTACTTCTTTCTGGAGGCCGTCCTGCCGCACACGCAGCCGGCCGCGCGAAGTGCGCACCTTGACGCGTCGATCTGTGAATAGGACGTGTTCCCGCACACGCCGGCGGGGCGCGGGCGGAGGGTGCTGCAGACGCCGCAGGCGCTGCACGCGCTGCTGCGACTCGTCTCGAGCCAGGACACCGACCGTTTCGGCGGCGTGGGGGAGCGGCTAGAAATTGAGCCACTAGAAGAGAGGCGTGATGAATGATCCGCGCGCGAGACGGCGGACCCCGAGGAGCTCTACCGCGCTGCGCGCTGAGCTGTGCGGGGGGACGACGCTCGGTGTGTGTGTGACGTGAATGACAATGCATTTCCATATAACGCATAATCACATATGATATTTTTTTCGCAACCGAGAATCCGAGTACGTAAATCCTAAAATGTATCGCATATCGGCGGGTTTCTGAAAAAATGGGAGAGCTAAGGACTTGCCAGGTGTAGTCGTCGACTCCCGTCGGATGTCGATGATGTACAATGATGACTTGCCCAGCCTGTGAGTCGGGCGTGAACAACTGTGAACCCCTGCGCGAGGGCCTTCTAGGCCGGGGGGGTATTTTCTTCTCAATAACAAGGCTGTGAACAGAGAAGGGGAGCAACGCTGCCTTTCAGCGCGTAGTGACGTCGCCCCGTCCGCTGTGGAGTGTGATCTGCCGCTGGTGTTGTGTCAACACGTATATGCACACGCACGCCAATGCGGGTGCAGGGGAGGCCCCCGGTTCCGGTTCCGGTGGTGTCGTGGCTCCGCTGACATCGATCAACATTGACGACAAGGCTCCGGCCAAGCCACAGCTGGCTCGCATCCGCTCTTACACGATCAGACGGCAGAGCTCACATCACTGGACGCCGCCAGAGCTGTACTACAGCGGGCCACACGATGCGGCGACGCGCAACGGTTTCTTGCGCAAGGTGTATGGTATAGTGTGCGCACAAGTGCTATTCACGACAGCGGTGATGCACGCTATGATGAGGGATGGTATGGCGCGCGTGGCGGCCACGGCAGTTTCCGGCGTATGGGAGGACCGATCCTGCAGCCCACACATCTTGTGGCCAGGACATCTTACCTGCACAAGTGTTGCCATCGAACCGTTCATGCCGTTGTTGATGCCAGCTTTTGCCGTGTCGCTCTTGCTGACCTGCTGCCTGGACGGCTTCAAGAATACATACCCGTACAACTACCTTTTGCTGGCCGGCTTCACGCTCGTCGAGGGCTTCACCGTCAGTTTCGTCTGCGTTGCGCTCGGCATTGAGAGGCCCGAGGTGGTTCACCAGACCTTCACGCTGACCGCCGCCCTCTTCGTCGGCCTCACCGCCTTCACGATGCAGTCGCGCATAAGATTCAACTTTCTTGGCGGCTTCTTGCTCTCATCGCTCCTCCTCCTCCTCGCGTGGGCAACGATCAACGCCGCCCTCGGCCTCCCCTTTGCCTCCACCGCCTTCTCCCTGCTCGGTGCCCTCCTCTTCTCGCTCTACGTAGTCTACGACACCTCCATGATCTGCCACCGGCTTGGCTACGACGACTGTGTTGTCGCCGCCATCGAGCTCCACCTCGGCGTGGTCAACCTGTTTCTGTACCATATGCGCCTGCTCTCCGACGATTCTCTCTCGAGTCTCTCCGTAGGTTGAAAGGTGAGGGAGAGGGCTGGGGTGGCGTGGTAGGGGACTGGACATGATGGTGTGCCGGTGTGTGTGCTAGTCTGCGCCAGTCCGCGCCCTTGTCGTGTCCAGTGTGCTGTAAATAAATAAATAAAACGGACACACCAAACAAGGGGTGGGAGAAGGACAGGGTCCCCACCTGCGCGAGCAGGATCTTGTAAGGACGATCAGGACCAGGGGAACGGGAGCGGGGAGCGCATCGCGCCACGGAGGGGGGCTGGGCAGGGTTCACCCACACGACAGGGTCCCAGGGACTCCTCTCTCGTATAGGACAAAGTTGCACCCGGCGGCACGGGGGCAGGCGCGGGCCTCCTACTGGTTGCGCTCTCCTAGTTCTCCTGCTACTGACAAACAAAACAAAACAAAATCTCTTCTCTCCTCTCTGACAAAAGGGACAGCGACAGGTTCGCAGCACGGTGGTGGACTCCCTATTCCACTGGCGATCTCTCTCGACTAGCGACCTTCCTCCGGCTTCTCACTGGCAGTCTCTCACTATCACGGGCACACTGACAGAGGCGGCCAAGGCTGTAGAGCTCTGCTTTTGAAGAATTCTTCTTAGGTCCGTGACACCATTTCGATAACCTAACGCCTGGAACACACCAACTCTGCGCCGCATCTGCTGACGACTATGCGAAGCGCTCCGCCGGCAATGCGCCGCCTCCCGTCTGCGTCAATCGCTGCACCAGCCATCGCGGCAGCGCTCACCAATCTGCTGCTCGCCGTGAGTACTGCCGACCAGTCTGCCAGTTCGGCAGCCGAGAGCCGTTCTCGACTGGCTCTGCCCATCCGCCGCCTTGCTGGCCGCCTCACAGGCAACCAAGAGCAACGGGCGGACGACCGCGGCATCGCGCAGCGCCGTTCGCGACGCAGAGAGCTTGGCGCTTTCGGTTCCTGTGTCAATCACAGCCAATGGGCTTGCGCTTGGCGCCACAAGCCTCGCGTCCGCAGCCGGCGCCTCGAGCAACATCCACCTGCTGTGCTGGGGTCTCACCTGGTGCGGCGTGACCCCCGCCATGCTCCTCGGGCGAGCCGCCTTTGCATCCGACTCATACCGCTACCTCGACCCGGCTGCCGACCATCGGCTCTGGTCGGCACCGGGCAGGATGCTGCACCAAGCGCCGTCCTCGTGTAGCCGCGGACGCGTTGAGGTGTGGGAGCATCGGGAGGGCTGGCGCACGCTGCGATTCGCCCCAGACGGCGGCACGGCCTCCGTCCAGTCCTTGCACCGCTGCTTGCCCGGCGGGGCTTGCGACCCGCAGGCGCAGCGGCAGAGAGACATGCAGAGGCCAAGGCCGCCTATCTCTCATGCGACACAGTCCGCGGGCCGTATCTGATCTAGGCGATCGCCAACGAGTACCTGAAGGTCATGGCCGCGGCCTCGATCTCAGCCCTCGGCGAACGGTGTGTGGGCGTCAAAGACGTGCAGACCACCCCTTGATAAGAACAGAGACGGAGATGGTTCCAACGCTGGACTGTAGGAGGCGGCGGCTGCGCTCCATACCAGCAAACGCGCATCGGCTGCCCGCAGAGCCGATACCCGCAATGCCGCCGCACCCACACTCTCGGCCCTCCTGGAGGATAGGCGCACCCGCCTCGAGTGCTCCTTCTCGGCCTTGGCGGCGGCACGCTCTTGGCTCTGCTCGCGTCTCTGTATCGCGGCGCCGAGTTCAGAGCAGTCGAGCTCGACGCGGCCGTGCTCGAGGCGGCCAAGCGGTACCTTGGACTTTCCGAGGCCGTCGTATCCCCCGCCTCGCTGACCTGTGGCGACGCGGTGGAGTTTGTCCGGCATCGGGCGGAGGTGCGAGGCGCGCCCGAAAAGTTTCCGAGAAGGTTCCGAGAAGGTTCCGACGACAAGGCGCGCTACGACCGGCAGCCGTATGACGTGATCCTCGTGGACGCGTTTGGGAGCGACAACGTGAGAGCTGATGCACACGCACACCGCTGCACGCATTCACCACAACCACTGCCACGGCGAGCATCCGGCGTGTGGTGAGACAGCGCTGTGACGCCACCGCGGTGATTAGGCGACGCCGCCAGCCTTCTACGGCGATGCCTTCCTGCGCGACTGCCGCGCGCTGCTCGCCCCGGGCGGCACACTGGTACACAACTTCCACACTGGGAGCGCTGCCCTGGACACCGCCTTTGCCGCGGCGACAGCCAGCTACAAGCGCGCCTTTGCGGGGCGCGCTGCCGCAGTCCCGGTGTCAGGCCAGGGCAACACGATTCTGGTCGCGAGCGCGGCTCCGAGCGACACGCCGCTCGCCGCCGACGCGCAGGCGTCGGCCGCAGCAGAGGCGGAGGTAGTGGGACTCGCCACGTTCGACGCCGCCGCGCGGCTGGCCCGGCTGCGGCGACTCTAGTCCTACTCGGGGGCGCGTGCTGCCGCGTGCACCACGCTGAGCTCCCCGATCGCTGGGCGTGGGAGCTGCATGACTGCTCTCTGCGCTGCGATTTCACTGTTCGCTGCGCCGTGCGTCTCTGTCTGTGGGACCGTGTGGCGCAGCTTGGGTGTCTCTCCTCGCGTTTGGGAGCCAGCCCACTCCCTAGCCCTTCATGTCTCTCTGCAGGGTCACTGGGGTGGTGCGACCGACACTATTGCAACCGACACGACCCGCTTCTGCGCCTCCTGGTCCTGCCTGCCGAACGCCGTACCTTTTCTCCGACCGCCCGCGCCGCAAGCTGCCTCTGCCTTCACGCTACCTCTCGGCGGCCCTCTCTTTAGCCTCTGGCTCTGCGCCGCTCCTCACTTACGTGCAGCACGTAGATAGATAGATAGGAAGGCGCCTAGGCGCGCCGCCAGACGCAGTCGACCTCGCGCGCAAGCTGCTCCGCTTCAACCCGGCCAGGCGGCCGGACGTGCGCGCCTGCCTCCGCCACGCGTGGATGGCCGACTTCACCACCGGCGACGAGCAGACCTGCCCCGCGGCGCTCGAGGTGCCTATCGACGACGACACAAAGTTCTCCGTGTCCGATTACCGCGACCGCCTCTACAAGGACGTCGTCGCGCGGCGCAAGGACCGCGCCGCCCGGATGGCCGCCTACTTCCCCAAGGCGAGGGACAGCGCGAGCGCCTCGCGCGCGTCCACGGCGGAGCCGGGCCCGAAAAGCGCGCGCTGAGTGGGGCCCCCATTTGCCTCCCTCCCTCTCCGCCCTCCTCCGCTGGGCCGCGGAGCTCTCGGGCCCCGCACGCGCATCGCGTCGCGTCTCTACGGTGGGTCCGGGACCCGCACGGCCTCTCCGCCCCTCCCCTACGCTCACCGGCGCTGGCATGACGCCGCCGATACGTACCGCGGTCTCTCGCGATCTGTTCTCAGTATGTCTGTCCACTGTCTCGCACACACGCGACATCACCGGCACCGCCCTGTCTGCGTCTCATGTGTGGGGAGATCTCTTCAGTGTGTGTCCCCCCGAGTGTGTGTCTCGCGGTCTGGCATCCTGTCGAGTGTTTTATGTGTAAAATGTACTTGCCTCCCAGCTCTCCATCACAGCACACTCAACAACCCTCTGGTTTTGCTTTTGGCTGGCGCCCTGGGCCCCTGTCTGTGCGCTGCGGCTCCTGCCCCGGCTCTTGCGCTTTCGCACAGAGCCGGGCAGCGGCTTCCTAAACCATTCCGTCTCGGTGCCATTTTCCTACACGTATGGTGATTGCATCTGCGGCCCGCCGGCCTCAACGCAATGCGCGTGCGGTGGCGACCCCGAGCAGCAGGCCCAGCGCCACGCCTCCGAACCACGTCGAGGCGGCCGACTCCAGCCTGCTCCTCGCCATCGCCAGGCCCGAAGCGGCATGGAGCTCGCGGAGGCGGTCCATCGACGCCTCGGTTTTCGCCGCCGGCCCACCAAAGGTCTCCTCTCGCCCGCAGTTCGAGGGCGAGAAGGCTGGCAAGCAGATTGGCACGTACTTACACGGCCCAGGCCAAACCCACTGTACGCGTGTGTGCTTGCGCAGGACGAGCCCTTCGCCTGCCCGCACGATGGCGCATTCCGTGAGGTTGGCGCCGTGCATGATGTGCACCTCTCCCTCGAGAACCAGCACAAACTCATCGAACGAAGGGCACTGCGGAAGCTCTTTTGTGGCGGTGCGCACGGTCGCCACGCAAGCAGAGCAGGCAGAGTCGGCGGATGCGACGCGGCCGACGTACTCTGTGATGGTGAGGTCAGGCGCGTCGACGACGTCAACGGGCTTGACGATGCGGATGCCGGCGGTCATGCTGCAGATAGGGTTGAGCGGGGCAAGAGCGCGAGCAGAATCAGCGGCTTCCTCTTGTAGCCAAGCAGCCTCGAGCACGAGCGCTTCCAAGAAGTGTCCGAGAAGTTCGTTTCATTTCGGGGCACAGACTTTCTTCTTGGTATGGGGAGAGGTGAGATCTAGAGGTGATGAGAGCGGCGTTCCCTCCAATAGGTGTCCGAAGTTCGACAATCCGCGATTCGTTACATTTCGGTTGACCGGGCGGGCGCCCGCCTCATAGGAATCCTACACACACATGGGACAAACACCAAACAATCTCTCTCTCTCTCTCACATGCCACATGGGCGCGGAGAAGGGGGTCGCGGGGCTCGAGAGGCAGCTCTCCGAGATATCGGACGCACTCGCGCGCGCCGCCGCTGAGCAAGAGGAGGCTGAGTCTCGGAGAGGGCTGCAGAAGCAGGAGCGGCCGTCGCAGCCTATCGACGTGGAGACCGACGCTCTGCCGCGTCTCACACGCGACACCGCTGAGCAAGAGGAGGCTGACTTGCGGAGACGCAGCGAGCAGGAGTCGCACCCTGTCGGCCTGCCTGAGACTGACGATTGGACTCCATGCCCGATGTGCCGGGGTCGTGGTCGGTACGAGACGGCCTCGGCAGTGAGCGTGGACTGTCCACAATGAGTAGCGGCGCCTTGAAGGGGTTGTGGACGAGGTGCTCGAAATGTTCCGGCCTGGGTCTGTTCAATGCGGTCGGAGGCAGCCGAATGCGCTGCGACGCGTGTGATGGGTCGGGGGCGCTGCCTGGCTTGAACTGGTGCCGTTGCTGGGCTTGCGACCAACGACTGGGACACCAACGCGGTATGGGTGGACGCAGGACGTGAATCTTGAAAAAGAATTTTACGTGCAGAAATGAGCCTGTTGCGTCCGTCCGCTATTCCAAGCACACAGCGATGATCTTGACCTTCATCGAGGCGGGCGCGAGGGCGGTGATCTCCTTGGACATGCGGTCGGCGATGCCGGCGTACATGGTGGTGCCGCCCGAGAGCACGACGTTGGCGTAGAGGTCCTTGCGGATGTCGACGTCGCACTTCATGATCGAGTTGTCGAAACACAGTCCGACCAACGACTGGGACACCAACGCTGGTGGACGCAGGACGTGAATCTTGAAAAAGAATTTTACGTACAATTGAGCCTAGTTGCGTCCGTCCGCTCTACGAGTACTCCAAGCACACAGCGATGATCGTCTTCGGATCCCGCCCAAAGGCCCCAGGCTGCTGGCTGGCGGCGTGTTTCGCCACTTGCGCCGTGCTCGCGCTCGCCGCTCACGCCCTGTCACCGAGAGGGGCTTCGCTTGAGCCGGCGGCGCAGCTCTCGCCAGAGTCAGCAAGCGGATGCACCTTTCTGATGACTGCAGACGCGTCAGACCGGGGGGCGGGGGGCAGGCTTGCGGGCGAGCTGTCCGCTGCGATCGAGCATGCCGTTCTGGCACAAGATCGGCGGGCCAGGCTGGTCGTCCGAGCCCACCCGGACGCGCAGGCCAACGTTGTGATGCTCCTTGGCAAGGTGACGGCGCCGGCGGCGATCGATTACAATGCATTGGTGCGATCGGTCTCGCTCGAGATGCCGAACCGGAAGGTGCATTTCGTTCACGTCGATTCGTTCCTTTCAGACCCGCACCACCTATCCGCGAGCGTGCATTCGAGAGGTTTCGGCCCTCGCCTCCTACTATCCGGCGCAGCACAAGAGCGAGGCCAACTCTCTGAGCCTGCCTAATTATAGTCTCTCATCATACAGTACATGTGTGTGTGTCGCAGCCTGTCAATGGCCGCTCTAGCGCAAGGATTAGACAAAAGGGGCAGCATGCCGCGCACCGACCCCAAGGGCCATGCGCGCTTTGCGCTTTGCGGCCGCTCTGCCGACACCGCTGCGGGCCCCTGGCCCTGCGCGGGCGCGAGCGCTGTGTGACTCCGGTGCGGATTGACGCGGAGGCACACGAGCGGCGGCGGGCCGGTGTCGGTTGGTGTGGGCCGGCGCGCCTAGCCGTGGGCCAGAGCCGCGGCACCGCGGGCGACCCGAGCGGTGTGCAGTCCCCACCCCGGCCCCCCCCAGGCAAGGAATGCCCCAATGCAGAGCTTTGCGTTAAGAGAAGGGTATATCAATGAGTCTGAAGCACACCTCCGCAAGGCCGAGGGCGCGCAGGTCAACACAGAGAGCGTGTGTGAAGAAAAGGACAGGCCCCACGGCCACCCAACGAGATAATCGTTGCGAAGCGAGCGTGTCAGCTCTTTCCGTCTGCTCTCACCAAACCGCCGACGCACAAGCCAAAGCTGTTGCAGATCGCCTTGATCCACGAAGAGTTTGCTGGCTCGATTGCCGCCTGGGGCTGTAGCTCAAGACTGCGAGCAACAGCGGATTCCACCCTCGGATCATCTCCAACCGGGTCGCAATCAGAGGTGTCCTGCGGGCTGCGCTTGCTTTCCAACGACGATCGAGGCGGGTCTGAGCGAGCCGTGCGGCGACTCGAGCGGCGCAACGAGAAGAATCTGACGATCGCGTAGATGAGGCCGCGATGGCGAGTTGGGGACGAACTCTCTGCGCTGTTCCTGGCACTGGCCGCCATGAGATGATGGGAAAACTAGCCCGCGTCGACGTGCGTCCTTGAACATCCCTGTGCTGTGTGACACGCAGGCTCGCACCGGGGAAATGCCTTGAGGACTACGAGCCGCATATCATGTATTACCAAGTGTGGAAACCCAATGAGGGTGGAGCCCACTATACCCAGTCCATTGGGCTCTCTCTTCTTTGCGCGGACTGCGCGAACCGTCTCAGGCCGGAGGCGGAGAGAGCGCCCCTTACCCCCGCCTTAGCCCTTTTGTCTGTGCACCCGCATGCCATGCGACTTGCGAGGCTGTCACAGCACGCACCTAGCGTAGGGCGCCGTCGCCGCGTGTAGGATCCCGGAGTACGATACGCGCGCATTGCACACCATTCGTTAGACGAGACTTAGAGAGACTTGACGCGCTCGCGCACCGCGCGCGCTTCGTCCTTCGACCCGTTTTCGAGCTCTCGAGTCTCGTCGACGTCGTCTCTCCGTCTCCGAGAGAAGAGACCTCTCGCCGCAAATTCTCTCGCAGGCTATTTGGTTTAAACACTGAATGCCACACGCCGGCGCAGAGAACTAGCTTGCGTCGAGAGCGGGGCAGATGGGCATCCGCGTCATCGCCGGGTGAAGGAGCAGAAGCAGCAGCACGATGCGCGGCTCCGAGCGCGCAAACGCTGCGCCGCTCTCGAAAGCCGTCGCCGCCACCGCGCCACCGCCGCCGCCGCCGCCGCCGCCGCCGCCGCGCCAGACAACCTCGTGGCAGACCGAGTCGTCCCACACAAACCCCTCGGCCTCGCGCCACGCAACCTCGACCGCAGCGTCAGCCGGCGCGGAGCCTTGCACGTCGTCGTCGAGGCTCGACGGCCTGCCGATCCTGCGAGAGAGACGAGACGCGCTCTCCCAGCGCAGAGACCGGCGGGGGCGGGGGCGGGTAGGTGGGGGTTGGGGAGGCGGGTGGGTGGGTGGCGAGGGGGGGGTGGCGGGCGCTGGGTGGCGGGTGGTGGTGTGTGGTGTGGGGGGGTGTCGGCCTGTGCCTTAAGCGAGCTGCGCCCGGGTGCGGCACACGAAGCCCAACGTGCATCACCTTTGGAAGGGGGGGGGGGGGGGCAGTGGGTGGTGTCGCGTGTGCTGCGACCGAAGACTGGCCTTGCGTGATGCGCCTGGACCCAACGGCTAGAGCATCGCAAGTTGCGGACAGCCCATGCTCTTGTGGTGTGATGAGCGGAGGCGGCGGCGCGCGCCATCCGCCCGTCTTCGGAGCGATCTCGGGCAATCTCGGGCGATCTCCGTCGATCACAGGCAATCTCGGTCGATCTCGGTCGATCTCGGTCTCGCGACTGCCATCCGCCCGTTGGTCGGTCCACAGTGCGGAGAGAGGGCGGTGCCCGGCGCCAGAGCGGAGAAGAGGGCGCCCTGGACGTACGGGTAGGTCTCCACTGCGGCCCGCACGGCGGCGCAGGTCGCCCTGTGGTGCGACGAGGAGGCGTCGAGGTGTCGGGGTGGTGCGGGGAGGTGTCGGGGTGGTGCTGAGAGGTGTCGGGGTGGTGCGGGGAGGTGTCGGGGTGGTGCTGAAGGTGTCGGGGTGGTGCTGAGAGGTGTCGGGGTGGTGCTGAGAGGTGTCGGGGTGGTGCTGAGAGGGTGTCGGGGTGGTGCTGAGAGGGGCCCCGGAGCCATCTTTGTGGTTTGAGGTGTCTGGAGGTGTCTCGGAAGGCCTTAGGCGCGCCGCGCGACTCCTCGCCCCTCCGCCGCCGCGCAGCCCGCACACGTCAAACAGGTCGAGCTCGCGCCACCCGCCCTGCGGCCTCGCGATGCCCTCGGTCTGCACCGTGAAGCGCTCCAGCGCCGCAGCCGCCTCGGCGGCGAGGTCGGCGGCGGCCCCCTCGAGCGGCGAGAGGAGGCACTCGTACGCTCCGCGCGGGCGAACGCCGCCCGCCGGCGGGGGTGGCACGGCGGACAGGTACTCGACGGGATGCTGCCACGGAGCTCCGCCGCGCCACGCTCCGCTCTCTGCCGCTCGAGTTAAGACCTGCAGTCCGTGGCGGCGGGCAGCAGCGCCGGCGGCGCCGCGCTCAGAGAGCAGCAGGTAGCCGAGCGACGATGCAATCGCGGGCTCCTCAGCGTGCACGAGCGCCGCGTCGGAGAGCATCTGCCTCGCGCGGAGCAGGTCGCCAAACGAGCGGAGGTAGGACGCATGGTGGTAGGCGACTTCTGCGCTGGCCGGCTCCAGCCTGCTGGCGCGCTCGTAGGCCGCAGAGGCGGCGCGACGCTGCTCGCTCGCCCTCGCGTGGGCCGCCGCCGCGGCCGCCGGGTCGGTCGTGCCGGCAGCCTCGGACTCGAGCGCCTTGGCCGCCTGCTCGGCGTCGAGCGCCACGCCAAGGTGGTCGGCGTCGCTATCATGCTCGCGCTGTTGCGTGCCGCCGGCCGCGATGGTGACCCGGGAGGGCGCGGACGGCATCCCTGTGGCAGAAACCTGCGGCTGAAGCGCGCTGCTCCGCCCAAACCGCGAAGTTGGAGCCTGATCGCACAATAAAAGGAAAAAGAAAACTGATCGGCCCTGGATGTGATCTGTGATCTGTAAGGGTCCGCCCGCAGGCGCATTTTGTATACCGAGGCGGTGCCCGGTGCCGAACCTGTCGGACCTTAAGACAGCGTTGTAGATCCCTGGGCGAGGGCGGTGGTGTCCCCGTCGGGTCAGGGCTGAGGGCGGGGGAGGCCAACCCGATCTCTCCGGCGTCCCGGGAGCGTGATTGACACCTCCCCCTGTGCCAACAGCCCCGTGGAGGGAGACCGCTCGTCTAGCCAATCAGCCTTAAGCGAGCGGTCTGGCCGTTGGAATGGCCGAGTTTGGTGTGGACTTGCGTCCTCGCATCGATCGTGGTTGGTTATACACAAAGAAGCGTTGCTGTATGAAATAACAGAACAACCACCATGAGCCACATTTTTGTCTGGAAAGGGGGAGGTCTGTGACCTGCCTAGTAAGCCGGGCATGCGAGGGCATGCGCGGCCTTTCGGAGCCCCCTTCCCCTGTCGGCTTAGTACGGTTGGTCAGCGCGTCTCCGTCTGAAGTCGTCTCGAGGCTTCCGAGCTGATCCATCCATCCGCTTGCGCTTTCGCATCTTTTGTTTCGGCGTCATCAGCTCCTCGTCCTCGTCATGCTGCTGGCTCGCCCCCTCTCCCTGACTCATCGAATCGCTCCGTTCGTTCTCAAATCGCCCCCGCTTCCTCGGCGGCTGGGACGTCTCGTGCTCTGGCTGTTCCTCGTCTACGTCCATCACTGTAAACTCGTCGTCTGCCTGGCTGCCATCGTTCGGATGGCCCGTTTCGGGTGGTTGCTCGCTCGGTCCTGGCTCTGCTGCGCTGTCGGGTGTCTCCTCGTCGTCACTCCTTGCGCCCTCGTCGCTGTCGTCGTTGTCTTGGCCGGCGCGGGCTTGACTAGTTTCGGTCCCCCTGTGCCCGAGCCGAAGTTCGAATCGTATTCGATTCATGAACCGCTGCGCCGCGAGCTGGTTCCGCCGTTCTCTCCTCGCGCGCGCCCGTTGGCTGCCCTGGCTGCTCTGGCTCCCCTCGCTCTCGCCCCCCTGGCTCTGTTGGCTGTACTGACTCTGGCTCCCCCGGCCCTCCGCCTCTTCCTCCGTTGCCACGTCGGGAAGCTCGAAGAACTCATCGTCGATAAAGGCCATCTCGTCGTCCGCCGCGGCGCTCTTATCTCTCTCGTCGTCTCCCTCGTCGTCGTACGTCTCGCTCGCTGGCGGCTCGCTCTCCATCGGGTTCGTCGTCCCGCCTTCGGGCGTTGGGCCGTGGACTGCCTTGTCGTGCTCTGCCGTGTTCCACGGCTCGACCCCAGCTCCCTGCGCTTCGCGCACCGCGTCGAGGGTCCGCTGTGACACTTGCCTCTCGTGCCCGTGCCGAAACCGCAGTAGACTGAGGTGCCCGATCTGGTATGCCGTTGTGCCTTTGAGGGCTCGCGGGCCTCTCGGCACCCCTTTGTCTGCCCTCGGCTTGCGTGGCTTTGGGGTGTCTCCACGTTGCTGCCCCTCTCTGCGCCGCTCGTCTCGTACGCCGATGAGCTCTCGCGCCATGGCTGCGAGGCTGTCCCCGTGGCACAGCCTCCCCTCTCGACACGAGGGCGAGCATCCGAGCCGCACCACCTTGGCGTTGCCGCGGCTGGATGTGAGGCTAATGACTGCACACACAAGTGATGAAGTGCTCATAGGTGCAGCTGGCGAGTCTTTTCCCCTCCGTGTCGCGATGCGCTCCCCGCTCCCGTTTGCTCGTGTGCAGGTGGGGACCCTGTCCTTCTCCCACCCCTCGTTTGGCGTGCGCGTTTTATTTATTTATTTATAGTCTTCCTCCCGCTGTGATTTTGTGTCAGCTCTGTGCTTGATCTGAGAGAGAGAGATCTGCCAACATACACAAAGAGAGAGAAAGAGACGCGTAGGGCCTTTACCCTTTAGGGGCCTAGAGAACTTGGAGAACACACTCCCTTTTTCTCCCAGTATACACAAAAGAAAACAAAACGTGAATCGGCGGAGTAGCGCCCGCCGAAGACTCGCCGCCGCAGGGCGCCGCAACTCGCGGCAATATGCCCGGCGACAAGCCGCAGCGGGGCGGCGAGGACAATGCCCGGCTCATACACGCCGTCGAGCTGGATCGGCCCACGCCCTCCACGGAGCCGCACGTAGACGCGGCGGCGCCTTTAGCTTCAGACGGCAAGACCTGGCCGTCACATGCCTTCATCGCAGCCGCCTCTGCCTTGCTCCTCATGCCTGCAGTAGTTCTCGCGGGCGCGTCGTACTACCTGCTTCGACCGCCGCCGCCGCCGCCCTCCCCACCGCCGCCGATCGCACCTCCGCCGCGGCTGCCACCTTCAACGCCTCAGCCGAGCCCGCCGCCGCCGCGGCCGCCATCGCCCCCGCCACCGAGCCCGTTGCCCCCTCAGCCCCAGCAGCCAGTGGTGTACCCTCCCCCGCCGGTGGTGAATGGGGACGGCCTGCTCACTCACGAGAGGTGCCACGCCATGCTCCGCGACAACTCGCACCACTTTCGGAGGATGTGGGACGAGCGGGGCTGGGCCAAGGCGGGGCCGGGCCGCCCGTCCTGCTGGGACGTGCAGCGGTTTAGCGGTGGGCAGAAGGGAGCGAGCCAGCCTGCGAGCGCCTTCTTCGACGGCGTCGCGACTGGGCGACACTGCTCTCGCACACGCTGGATGCACTTTTACAACAACAGGGACGCTGTCGTTTTCCGACGCGACGGGACGCCGGATTTCTCGAGGCGCGCGCCGGCAATCTTGGGGTTTGACGACGGCGACGGCTCGATTGGCGGGTTGTGCGAGAGCAGGGGCTGGGGCGACACCAAGCTACAGCGCTGCGTCCGCGCCAACCTCCAGATACTCAGCATCGATGCGAGTGACTACAATCTTTGTCGGAACTTGGAGTGGCAGGCTTGCGCAGCGCAAGGCAAGCTTGCGAATCAGGACGGCAACCTGATCGCGTTTGCCGCTGCACCTGGGTCTCTGCACACAGGCGGCAGCTACGGCCACCTGTTTAACCGCTGTTCCGGCTGGACTCCGACCGGCGTCGATAGCGGCACCTTTCCCAACGCGGGGTACGCAAACGACGACATTTTCTACCTGGAGACGTGCCTCTTCAGCCAGATCTGCGAGAATGGCGAGGAAATTTTCTCACTGGCAGCTGGCCAGCAGTGGCGCTGCCGCTTCTCGCAGGAGAAGGTCTACGAACTGCAGCAGATCTTGACGACCCCGGTGGCGCCCGAGCCGTGGGGTGCGCCGGTGTGCCACTTCAAGCCGGGGAGGGCTGGCTGAGTGAGTGAGTCCTCGCAGATGAGAGAGAGAGTAAAAAAGTCAGCCGAAACTGTACAAGGGTGTTAACCACGTGTCGGGGATGTGTGTCGGGTGTGTGTGTGTGTGTGTGTGTGTGTGTGTGTGTGTGTGTGTGTGTGTGCATACGCTAATTACACCAGTTCGCTACCCCTTGTTGGCGGAGGGCACAGCAGCAGGACGCGCAGCAGAAACCGTACAGCTGCCGACGAGACGCGCCATCGACGTCGGTCTTTGGGGCCTGCACGAATAGCACTTGCTCGTGGGTAGGGCAGCAACCGAGCAATTTCGGACGCCGAGCCATCTCAGCAGTCTGTTGAACGTGCCAAGCGAAAAGTCTTCGAGAGGAAGGCGGAAGACCTGAGCTTGTGGCATGCGGTCAGCCCATTCGATCGCTTCCGATTGTGAGCCCACGACGCCTTCCGAAAACCACGTCCACGCCCCGTCGTGCGATACGGGCATGTGCAGGTCGGGGTTGTCGTGCGTCTGTAGACGCATCCCGGCGGAATCGATGTTGCCTTGACGGCTCTTGGCAAAGGCGATGCGGCCGCTGCGGTTCGAGCCCCCCTCCATGACTGGCGTCGACAGGTCGCGTCGGAAGTTGACAATGACCTTGGCAGAGGGGAAGAGCGACAGCAGCCGCTCCACCGGCGGGAAGCGAATCTCCTTGAAGCCGTGGATCAACGCGGGAGGTCTGTCGCGCACTAAATTCCGAAGCCACATGCACACCAGACCGTGCGTCTCTCTCGCGTTTGGCGAGTTGGCCCAAGCCTGATGCCACGCTTCAGCGCCGGTGCCCATCCAACTCGCGTGGTCGGTCATGCTCACCGCCGCCGCGAGCAGCCCCAGCAACTGGCCATTCTCGCCTGACAGACTAATCCCGGTCACGCTGTTGAGAAGCTGCAGGATGGTCGTTGATCCAGAGTGACCAGTACAGAACACAAACACCCACTGTGTGTCGCAGGCCTGGGCCAAGGGTTTGTCCAGCGGGTCAATCGGCCCTGATGGCGAGGCCGGCGGCGGCGGCGAGGGCGAGGGCGAGGGCGGCAGTGGCGGTGGTGAAGACAAAGACAGCGTCTCAGGCTGAGCTTGAGGCTCAAGCTGCGAAGCTGCGAGCAGGAGGAGGAGGACCGCAGTGCCGGCTGCGGCGCATGCTGGGATCGCCCTCCTCGACTCTGGAAGAGCAGCCGACGACTCCGCTGCCCAATTGCCTTCGTCAAGGGCCGCGTACCGAACCGCAGGACGCGCAGGCGGCCGCTTTGGTCGCGTCTTCCGCGGCGCGCGCGTGCCGTCGCTGGGCAATGCGCGAGTCGGCAGCGGACTCATCGCGTCGGCAAGCGCCCGCCGACGAGCATGTTCACAGCCTTGTTATAGAGAAGAAATACGTCCTATGGCGCTGTGCGCTGGTCTGTGAGAGGTTGAGATGCGAACCCTGGAGGCCCTGGGGATTCACAGCCCCTTCGAGAGAAAGAATACCTGCGCCGCTGCGCTGCGGAGCGGGCCGAGATCCTCGTCTCTTTTTCTTCTGTGTGCCGAACAGGGGGTTCGAAGGAAAAAGAAACCACAAGTGGATCCCCGGGGGGCACGTAAATTAAACATGCACGGCGGATGCCACACACGAGGCGGCGGCGGGCGGGGTGGGGGAAGCAAGCAGCAAGGTTGTCGTACTCGACAGGATGTTGGGTATGGGACAGAGTCAGCACGGAGCGGCGGATATAGCTTGTGGCCGCCGGGAGTTGGAGAGCGCCCCTCCACTCACTGGCAAGTGCCGATCGCCGTCGCGAGGTCGCAGGCGGCCTGGCCGAGGGGGTTGTTGCTAAAGGCGCATGACGGCGCGGGCGGCGCCGTCGCGGTCGGGTTGCAGCGGCCCTGGCCGTCGGCCGTCGGGCCGCAGTCGCGCGGCTTGAGGAAGCGCGAGGCGTAGGCGTCCTCGCACTCAGCGCCCTGCGGGACCGGCAGCAGCTTGGTAGTAGCGACGCCCATCGCCTCGAGCGCCGCCTCGGCTCGGGCGACGGCCGCGGGGTCGGCCACCGGCTCGCGCGAGAGGATCCACAGGCCCGCGTTGTTGATGCCGAGCTCGCGGGGCGTGCACTTGTACGTTGACGGGTCAAACGGGCTCCCGTCGGTCGGCACGTCTGGCTGGCCGCCGCTCACCGCCACGATGGAGTACTGTCCCTCGGCGTCGGCCTCGATGTACACCGGCCAGTAGGGGCCGGCGAGGAGGTTGGGCAGGAAGCACGGCGCCACCGACAGCTTGTCAGGCTGGGACTCGTCGGCGATGCGGGCGCAGAGGGTGCCGCCGCCGTTAACCTTTGTGCGCTTGTCGTCAAAGGTGGCCTCGTTGTAGACGGTGACGACGGTGCCGCCAAAGAGCGGGACGGTGGCTCCCTCGAGGTTGTAGGTGGCGGTCACGCAGAAGAGCTGCTCGGCGGGCTGGTAGGAGTTGACCTGCTGCTTCTGCACGTACCTGGACAGAGGAGCAGCGCGGGCTGGGGTTGGAAAGCTGGCGGTGGAGGAGGCGGCGGAGGGCCGGGCGAGCGGTGGAGGAGGAGATGGAGGGCTGGGCGAACTGGGTGGAGAGGCGGCGAGGGTGGACGTGGCGAGTGCTTACCACGTTGCGCGTGTGTACTCGTCGAGGGAGAGGGAGAAGGATGCGTTGTTGACGGTGTTTATCTTGGGGCAGAAGAACGGGTCCAGGGGCAGCGCGAACGGCGAGGTGGCGAGGGCGAGCATTTAGGCAGAGACGAGTAAGGATCGCCGAGCTTCAGCTGTCTTCTTCCACTTTTCACAAAGGAGCAAGCCGGAGGACGACGGCGTGTCGGATCTGTGTGTCCGAGGAAAAGGAGAGGACAAAAGAAACGGCAAGCAACAACACAAAAGAGAAGTGTTGTAGTGGAATCTCTCTTCTTTCCTACTCTCGCACCGACTTTCATACAGTTATCCGCGTGCTCATCTCTGCTCCGTCGTCCGCTGCCTTCGCGAGTGAAGTGAAAAAGAAAAACTTGCTGCGCTGACTGACGTGTCCAACTTGCTGCGCTCCTGACACCACACACGTGGAAATGCTCCGCCTTCTCGTGACCTGCGTCTGCGCCGTCGCGGCCGCCACTGCGAGCGCGCCCGAGGACGCGCCACTCAACCTCTGGTCCGGCGTGACGGTCGGTCTCAAGTCGGACGACGCCTCAGTCGAGAAGGGCGCCGGCGAGCAGTACCAGTTCCAGGCGGACGTAAACAAGCTGATGGACATCATCATCAACAGCCTGTACTCGAAGAAGGAGATCTTTCTGCGTGAGCTGATCTCGAATGGATCCGACGTGCGCCGCCGCCACCCCTTCCACGCTCCTCGCACGCCACTTCGGCCAGCTTTGCGGCGAGAGCCGAGAGCGCCACCCGCGTGCCGTGGCCCACTGCCCGCCGCCGCCGCCGACTGGCCGCCGTGCCCGCCGCTGCGGCAGCTCTTTTCCACCCGCTGCTGTGCTCTGTGCCCGATGTCGTCGCCCGAGCCCCTCGCCCGCGACTCGCTGCCTCAAACCCATCGCGCGCGCGCTCCCGCGCCCGCCAGCCTGCCCACTCTCCTCGTGCCTCGCGCTTTTGCAGGCGCTCGACAAGGTGCGCTTCATGTCGCTGACGGACTCGGCGGTCCTCGGCGAGGGCGACACCTCCAAGCTCGAGATGAAGGTCCTCTCCCCTCCCCGCGCCCCGCCCGCCCGATGCTGCGCGCGCGCGCCCGCCAGCCCTCCGCCTACCGCCAGCCCTCTCTGCCTGCCGCCAGCCCTCTGCCCCACCGCCAACCCTCTGCCCCACCGCCAGCCCTCTGCCCCACCGCCAGCCCTCTGCCCTACCGCCGCCCCGGGCCTCGAGACATCTCACTCCGGCCTTCGCCTTCCCCGTCGGCAGCTCATCGCGGACAAGGAGGCCAAGACACTCACCCTCATCGACCGCGGCTGCGGCATGTCCAAGGAGGATCTCATCAACCACCTCGGTGCCGCCACTGCAACCAGCATGACCACACCTCCCAGACGCCTCCTAGACCCTTCCAGGACCTCACCCGCCACCTCGGCGCGCAGCCGCATCGTCGCTCTGCGCCGATAGCATGCCGCCCCGACCCACTCTCTCCGCCCCGCCCCGCCACCCTCCCTCCCACCGCCCTCCCCCCACCGCCCACCCTCTCCTCCCACCGCCCACGCCCGCAGGCACGGTCGCACAGTCGGGCACCTCCTCCTTCATCGAGGCCTTCCAGCAAGGCACCCCGCCCACTCACCCGCCCCCGCGCGCCGCCCCTCCCTCCCGCCCCGCCCCTCCCTCCCGCCCACCCGCCCGCCCCGCTCCACCCCCCCCTCCCCCCCCTGCCGCCCGCCCGCCCGCCCCTCCCTCCCGCCCGCCCGCCCGCCCTCGCCGATCAAGCCGCCCGCT